ATGCTTAGGTGAGATGTTCCAGAACTCTTCAGTCTAGTTGGATTAGCGAGAAAGTATCAACTTCATTTCCCAAAGCCAAATGGTTCTGGGTTAGTTACAAGATGCTAGATATTGGGTGTGAATCCAGTTTAGGGAGCTATTGGCTCCTGTGGAATTAGATGGCCTTTTCCATTTGCTTCTCCCTTAATCTATATAAATAAAAATGTAAATGTTCGTTTGTTCAAAATCTTAAATCTCCGAAAGTTCTTCACCGATTGCTTTGAAATTTTGACACAACGTTGCATTCGAATACGCACGTGTTTTTATATACCTACTATTATATAGATGTCACACCTGTGACAGGTAAAAACATGCTTTTTTTGAAAAACATAAGCAAACCAGACAATCTCTATATCTGCACAGACAATGGAACAACAAAAAATATTGTATACCCACAAGCATTGTGAAATTAAACATATTAGAAACGTGCGCTTTCTCTTTTCTTTCTTTTCCATTTAACCAGACTGAGCCACAGCAACGCGTGAAGGGCAGAAATAGATATAAATCATTGCCTTCTACCTACTGAGCTCAATGGCACTCTCTCACATACCAGCCATTCTTTGATTTACCATCTTTCCCATTTTTAATTTCTGTACAAGAGCAGGCCCATTAAAAAGAAGATCAGTGGCAGGTATAGGAAGAAATTGTTGAAAATCTTACATGGGAGCATTTTTTTAAAGGACCTATGGCCCATCACCGTAACAATTCCATTTACTATCTTCCTGTTTCTGCAAATGATTAACTAGAGAATATCTGGAAAGGAAGGCAAAGTCTCAGCAATTCTTCATTGCAATCTTCTTTGTTCAGTATTTATTCATCCTTTAAAATTAGCAAGGGTGAATGGCTGGGGAACTGGAAATAAGCTGAAGAGGCAAAGGCCACAATATTTTTACTTAATTCCATCAGCATTATGCAATTATCTTCTTCAACCTGATATCCTCCAGATGTGCTTAGGTTTACAATTCCCAGGTTTCCCAATCAGAGGGACCTGTAAATCTTGGAAGTATAGTTCTGATGCCTCTGAAAGGCTTCAGATTGGAGAAGGCTAGCCTAGCATAGACTTCCTCATTTGTTGAAGAAGCAAAAACTAAATTTGGTCTATAGCATTCTCTATTTATGCTACTGCAAAATTCCTACCACTAGTCAAGGTTGGGATATAGGTGTAGTCAGAGGTATATCAAGAACAAAAGAGTGCATAAAATCCTCCTCTTGTGGAAAAACCATAGGCTCAGGAAACCCTAAATGTGAACAGGAAGACATTTTTGTAGCTCTTTCTGCCCAGCAAAACTCAGTGGGCACATCCTGAACGGATATTCCCAGGTAGATGTTTCCATCATGTCATTCTGATTGGTTAATACACAAAGGATTCCTGATTCAGATCGCAGAAACTCACTGCATTCTGTCTATCTGGCTACTCTTCTGCAAGCAGCTTTGAAACCGAATGGTAGAATTCCTCCAATGGTCGTGTTGGATTCTAGCACACTCTGCCTATCAGATCCCATCAGTGATCTACCATTTCCACCCATCCTGGACCCTACCAGACTTTTCCAAGATCTTTCCCAGGAATGTCTCTCCAGATGTTCATAAACTCAAACTCTCAACCGCCTCAGTCAAGCTTTGCCAAGAATGAGAGATGTTGGCAGCTTATAATTCAGCAATATCTAAGAAGAGACAACTTCTCTGGGCCCACTTTTCCCCCAGATAAAAAGCCAGCCACCCAGTCCTAAAGCATCACCAGCATCTCCTGGCATTCCTTTATGAAGAGGAAACAGGCATGGTGGTCCACCTCAGGCCAACCTTCGTTTAGGAACTGAGGTTTACTTCAAATTGCATGAAACGGAAGGGAAGTCCATAACGCCCAGTCTGGCATTTCTAACCTCCCACTGTCTCCATCTTCCTGCCTCAGACTTGGCTACCTTCATACAACTGGTTGCCTAGAGCAGGGCTTTTCAACCTTTTCACCCATTGTACCACTTTTAGGATATGGCAACATCCGAGTACCACCAGTCGCCTAGCAAGGTGTCAAAAACTTGATGACCCAAAAAAAAAAAAATGAAAAAAGTGATAAAGTACAGGTAGTCCTCAACTTACAACAGTTCACTTAGTGACTCTTAGAAGTTACAATGGCACTGAAAAAAGTGCCCCCAAGCCACAGCCGAGCAAGACACCTGCCTGCCCGCCCAGCGGCGCTCTTCCTCCTGTCCGAGGTTTTCATTGTTGTGAGCATTTCTGTTGAGGATTGGCAGCGGGGGTGGGGTGGGTGGGTGTTTGGTTTTTATTCCCCCCGTCTGCTGGGTGGTTGCAGCAGGTTCTGGTCACTTCACATGACCCTGGGACACTGTGACCGTCATAAATATGAATCAGTTGCCAAGCATCTGAATGTAAATCACAACACCCTGGAGATGCTGCAACATTCCAGCTGATCGGTGCTTCTTCTGGGCTCAGCAGAAGCGCCAGGATCAGTGCTGAGCTCCAGCTGGAGCCTGGCGCTGATTCTGGTGCTTCCACTGAGCCCTGACAACCCCGAAGAAGCGCCGATCAGCTGGAAAACGGCACTGATCCTGGCGCTTCCGCTGAGCCCTGACAGCCCTGCAGCTCCAGCCATCTCTCGCTCAGGCTTGTGCGGTGCTGCCACTAGTTCAGCTCATTCCCCTCCCCCATTACCACTTTTCTAGGATGGTGGCGTACCACCTGCAAGGTGCCAATGTACCACAGGTGGTACCCGTACCACTGGTTGAAAAGTCCTGGACTAGAGCAGGGTAGAAGAGCTTTTGTGCTAACTTTTGCTTGTGGAGTTTGCTTTGTTCTGGGAATGGCTGAGCCAATAAAGATAAAGCTGCCAGTTCCTCTATGTTTTCCTGCTTTGCTTCCTCTTGAAACCTCTGTATGAAACTGTGGAACTCATTTGATATCCTGCCCTGCAAGCTTCCTCTTCTGAAACAAATCTTTTTGGAGCATCTCTTGGCCCTGCAGAGAGTCTTGAACATGTTGGAATAAACATGTTTAAAAAAAACCCTGGCATTTTAATGTTGGATCATAAAAACAAAATCCTTCCCTTCTTGTCCAGGGTCAAGACTTTGGCTGAATCTAAGTGATATCGCCTGACTAAATGAAATTTGCCAGGAAGAGTATAGAATAACTTGGTGGGTTAGTCACTCAAGGGAACCACAGAGATGACCTTGGAGAAAGGATTCGGAAATTGTTCCAATAGCAGAAGGTGCTAAAATATGCTTTGAGCCAAGGAAACTATTAGGAAGAATCTTAGTCTGGCCCCCTCCTTTAATCCCTGGGGTATAAGAGGGGAAAACATGGTCAGGCTTGTAAGATACTGTTATATTGCAACATCCTGTCATAATAAAGGATAGTTTTAATCATTGTGAGGACTCTGTTTGTTGATCTGGCCAATCGAAGGACTGACAATCATACAGTGGTGGATCTGCCCTTCAATTCTTGTTAATAATAATAATAATAATAATAATAATAATAATAATAATAATAATAATAATAATAATAATAATAATAATAATAATAATAATAAAGTTGGAAGGGACCTTGGAGGTCATTGAATCCAACTCCCTGCTCAGGCAGGAAACCCTACACCATTTCAGACAAATGGCTGTCCAGTCTCTTCTTAAAAACTTCCAGTGTTGGAGCATTCACCGCTTCTGGAGGCAGGTTGTTCCACTGGTTAATTGTTCTAACTGTCAGGAAGTTTCTCCTTAGATCTAGGTTGCTTCTCTCCTTGATTAGTTTCCATCTGTTGCTTCTTGTCCTGCCTTCAGGCACTTTGGAGAATAGCTTGACTCCCTCTCCTTTGTGGCAGCCCCTGAGATATTGGAATACTGCTATCATAATCAATATAATAATTGATTATATTTAATGTAGCAGGAGGGGAAAGATTCATCTCTTCACTCTTGCGTCTTCAAGTCAGTTTTGACTTCTGTGACTGGACAAGTCCTTACACTTTTCTTGGCAAGATTTTTGGAAGTGGTTTGCTCTTGCCTTCTTGCTAGAACTGAAAGAGAAGGGCTGGCACAAGGCCATCCAGCTGGCTTTGTGCCAATGATGGGACTAGAATTAACAATTGCACAAAACTATCATCCAATGTAATTGATGTTAAAGGAAATCAAATTTAGTTTTTGTCCAGGCCTACTTACTTTTGGGAATAAGTTTCTCCCATATGCCAACACAGTGTGGCCACTGCTTGAAAAACCCAAGTCAAGTCCAGCTTCCTGCTAACACAGGAAACTATGTTACATAGTCATCCAGTCTTTGCTTAAAACATCTGATGAAAGGAAATACTGTTTTCTACGTCAGCCTGTTCACTACTGAATCTTGAACGCTATCAAGAATTCTATCTAGTGTTTAGCTGAAATCCCCTTATCATTTATTCATGCTGGTCAGGAATTATGGAACTTAACAAGCCCAATTCATCACAAGAACTATAATTAAGGAAGATTATCCTAAGCAGGAACATTCAGAAAACCGTAGAACAAAGAAGGAATTACCTGGAGTAAGACTTTTTACAACTTGGCATGTTGCGGCCAATTCATTTTGAGCTGGAACATTGGAGTTTCCCAGATGGTAGATCAGCGCTTGAACAAATATTCACTTCATTAAAAAAAAAAACCAAACCACCAAAATATTATTCATTGCAGATTAACTGTGTATTTCCCAGCAGTTCTCATCTTTCAAGAATCACAGTGTGATAGGAAATACCATTCTGATTTGCATTATCTCATTAATCTTCTTCTCTGCTTCTAGGACAGTTGTGGAGTGGCAAGCATCCATCGGTGTTCTTTCTTCACAGAAAGATTTCACTCCTCATTGGAAGCGTGGCTGAATTCTAATAAATGGAAACAAATAAGCACGTAAACTGGTTTCCAGCATTGCAGAAGAGATTGTGGAAGAATAGCTAAATCTTCATGTGGGACAACCATATACCTTTTCTCTAGGGTGTGGTGCTGGAGAAAATTCTGCTAATTCTTTTAACCTGTTAGTCATAATCTGTTTATGCAATTATTGCAGACCAAAACCATCCTAGTTTTGGAAATTGCCCAATATCTGAAACTGTGGCTACAGAATGAGGCCTCTTTCTCCAGGAGATGGACTTTCCCCTCTGGGTCTGCTCACACGAGGGCCTGACTACTTGCGTAAGCAGCTGGAGATGAGCGGTGGTGGGCGGACGCCGAGTGCCGTGGAGAGGCTGGAGGCTGACAAAGCCAAATATGTCAAGTCTCGGCAAGTGATCAACAGGCGTCAGGAGCCAATTCTGCTCAGCCACACTCCCCAGTCTTCCCCTTGCTGCAGGAGACCCCTAACCCTCCACCAGCAGAGTGAATGTCTTCAGGGCTTGACAGCAGACCATGATGGCCTCAGACCCAAGAAGCAGCCCCCTTCCCCTCAGTCCCCCATAGCGCGGCGAGGGGGCAGCAGGCGCCTACTGAGGCCTGATTCACTTGTCATCTACCGGCAAAAACGCGACTGTTCTCTGGTCAACAAGGAGAACAGCAAAGGGTACAGCCTAATGAGGTGGCTGTTTCAGAGTCCACTGAGAGATGGACATCATAACTGTCCTTCAAAGAGTCTCTTTGGAGATGGACACCTGGAAGTGACCCAAGAAGAGAACTCCATGATTTGGGTTCTTGCAGAGAAGGAGGACACAAGGACTGCACATTCAGTGGACCTCCTAGATGGATTCATGGGTTGTGAGTCTGAGCCTAGTCAAAAAACCCAGGCCAGCTCTCAGCTCAATGTTGACCAGCCCTTTCCTTCCTCAGGCCATTACCAAACAGAAGCCAAGAAAGAGCTGACTCTGAGTTATTCTCTTCCTCTTTCAGAGAAAGAACGGTTCTTTAATTACTGTGGCTTGGACCGGAATTTGGTAGAGGTGCTTGGAGTTGAACGCTTCAAACCAGGCAGCTGGGAAGCGGGTTCCTTCTGCATTGGGTCAGCTAGTTCTGAACACGATGGCCTTTCCTATAGTGGGGAGCCCTTGTCTACTGAAGACCCAAGCGACAAGCTGTCTTCAACGGTCTCCGTCGTGGAGCGAAATGCCCGTGTCATTAAATGGCTTTACAGCTGTCAGCAGGCCCAAATGAGATCCAAAGAATCTACAGTATGAACTCATAAAGGTCTGGGGTCCAAGGCTCTCCCTTTACCCCAAGTGGGGGGAAGTCCTGTTTTGGGGGGGATGGCAATGTTCCCACCAGGGCGAACACAGCAGAGAGAAGCTACTATCTGTCGCCCGATGTGTCTTTCTCAAAGGAATACAGATAGTCCTCGACTTACAACCATCCTTTAAGTGACTATTCAAAGGGACTTATGATCATTTTTCACAATTATGGCCATTGCAGCATGCCCACGGTCACAGGATCAAAATTTGGACACTTGGCAACTGGTCCATATTTATGACAGTTGTGGTATCCCAGGGTCATGTGATCCCCTTTTGTAACCTTCTGATAAACAAAGTCAATGGGGAAGACAGATTCACTTAACATCCGTGTTATTAACAACTGCAGTGATTCACTTAACAACTGTGGCAAGGAACGTCATAAAACGAGGCTCAACTCACTTAACTTTCTTGCTTAGCACAGAAATGTTATGCTCAATTATGGTCATAAGTACTCCCGATAGATGACATATGACAATTTTTGGTCAGCCGGAACTTGAAAGTGACTTTAAAAGGGTCAGTCCCAGAGTGGTAGTACCAATTACTACTAATTAATGGTACGACTCTTAAACCCTTAACTTTAGATTGTTCACCTCCTGGAGTTCACCTTGTTCTAAGGGATTTCCATAGGAGCCGGTATTCCTATGTCACACCAGGCTAATTTAAAGGCTGAAATTACTTGCTGCCATCCAGAGCAGATGGACAAATTTCCCCCCCTTTTTTTTGCATTGATTGACAGCCTTTGTGGTACAGCAGAGAACACAGGCAGGATTGGTTCAAATCTCTACTTGCCAGTGAAGTTTCTTAAAGTGAAAGCTTAAGTCTGCCTATCACCTTTTCTACAAGGATGATCCTGATATCCTGCTAACAGACAACCCCTATGTACATTGGCTGGTTGGGTTATTAAACACTGCTCCATTTAGGCCTCTAACAAAGTGCTGAGCAATAAGGAATTTCCACTCCTGTGGGCAGAACTATCTGAATGTAGTTCTATAATTGAATCATCCAAGGTTTCTTTTTCCTGATAGCAAGTCCAGTGTGCTTGGCTCTAGTAGTTCTTCCTTTAAGTTGAAGCCTGTATGCCTTGCTTCACTGTGCTGCAAGATGTTTCTGCTTCCTTGTGTTTGTAATTAAAAAAGTTGTTGATAAACGTGTCTGCCTTTGCTCAATACCAACCAACCTTCGGAACACAGCATTCTGAGGGGGTTCAGCAAATGTCAGGCTGATGTTATGGGTTTTACCTTGTGGCTTTTTAATGCTGTAAGTCTCCTGGAGTCACCGTGTGTGAGTTGGATGGTTCTATAAATTTGATTAATAGATAAATAAATTTATTTTCTGGTCTGGGAGAAACACTAGGCAGCCACAGAATATAACCCTTGATTTCTGTAAAGTGGGGAAAAAGAATGGCTGTACTTCTGGCAAACTGGAATTATTTATAGGGGAGGTGTGAGGATTTTATTCAGCTGTGTTTCCTCCTGTTTGGACCGTTCACTACTTTGATGGTGGGAGGAATCAAAAAGAACTCTCTAAGAATCCTTCCATACCTCCTCTGCTTCTAATCTTTAATCGCAATTTGAAGTGTACCTTATTGCACTTCTTGCAGCTTTGAGAATAAGGAACACCCTGAGAGTCTGCAGCAACAACATTCTCTCTTCACTTCCACAAAACAGCGAATGGAATAAATAAATCAACACAAAGAAGTAGGAATATAGTCACAACTCTTGTCAACTTCATCCCTGCTTTATTGGGGAGCAGGGGGAGGATACAAAGTTGTACAACCATCATTACACTTTATGGACCCACTAGATCAGGGGTAGGCAACCTTGGCTCTTTTATGACTCATGGACTTCAACTCCCAGAATTCCTGAGCCAGCATGGCTCAGCTTGGAAACCTCTCCCTTCCCCTCAGCATGGCTGGCTCAGAAATTGTGGGAGTTGAAGTCCACGAGTCATAAAAGAGCCAAGGTTGCCTATCCCTGCACTAGAGTAATGGAAGTACAAAGAACAATAGCTTTTAGGTTTATATACTGCCCCATAGCGCTTTACCGCACTCTCTGGGCAGTTTGCAATGTAAGCATTATTTGCATATTCTCCCCAACAATCTGGGTCTTCATTTTACCAAGTTCAGAAGAAACGAAGGCTGAGCCAACTTCATGATCAAACTTTAGGCTGTGGGCAGAGTTTGCCTGCAATATTGCACTTTACTCCTTACAAGTAGCCAGGAGAAGGGAAGACACAGGAATTCTGCCAATAGAAAAATGGCTCACTCTTGGGCTCTTCAAGGTTACACAGTTTCCAGTGAAAAGCTGATTTCAGAGCAATTTTTATTATTTCACAACAGAGCTGCAAACAACAACAAAAACCCCAGCACACCTATCAAAGAGTCAGGAGTAAAGGTGTGGAGGTGATCCGGGAACTGTCTACCTATCCTTTGTAGAACTGTCATGAGTTGCAACTGCCTGAGTTGGGCAACCATATACATTTCTCAAATCAAATCAAATCAATAAATGGTAAAGCTTCCTCTTCAATAATATGGATGCTCAAGATCTCAGACAACATTATGGTATCAGTTTGTGAAAGGTGACTTTTTTATATATAACTGAAGGTTCATTTCAGAAACAGTGTGCATGCACAGATCTAATATGGATTCTAAGACAATTGATATTTTCCACTGAATGTACATGAAAAATTGCAGCCTTCAATTAATGAATGCTGCTCAACAAACTCTGGATTATTGTTCTGTAGAAAACGAGCAAGATTTTAATTTCTGAAGACAGTCCGTCTGTTGCCACCTTGTGGTAGCTAGATATATCATAATCATCTAATACAAAACCTACATTTACTCTGAATAGGCAATTTATTTTAGCCTATTCCGTGAAAATACAAGATTCCATTAAAATGAACAACTGAAGCTACATTTCCAAACCTTATAATTGTGAGCCTATATTTCAAAATGTGTGAACGTGGTCAGTGGCATGAGCTGAAGACATGGTAGAACATTCCCTGTCCTTCAGGAGCCCTATTTTAATGTCATGCTTTCCCCCTTAATGAGCAAAAACAGAATATTTCATCTGTAACATAGGTCACATTGCAAAATTATGCAAAATACCTACTTTCTTTAACTTGAGAATTACTTATGCATATCTTTGTTTGCTGTATTTGTGCAAAAGGTTTACAGATTGTATTATAGTTATAACTAAGGGGAAATAAGCAAGTTTCTCTCTGCCTCTAAGGCAGGGATTTTCAATCCCAGCAATGTTACGATGTGTGGTCCTCAATTCTCAGAATTTCCAGCCAGCATGCTGGGGCAAAAGAATTCCAGGAGTTAAAGTCCACACTTCTAAAAGTTGTTGAGATGGAGAAACATTGCTCTAAGGGCTGCATATCAAGAAAATCATGAGTATATTGTGGTGGATCTTGAGTATATGTGGCTGAATTAAGATATAGCTATAGCCAGACTATGAGGTCAATACGGATACAGATTCCTTTCCCTCTGATATTCTGCTGTCTCTCCTCCAAGCAGCAAGCTGTAGGAAAGAGGCAGAGACTAAAAGCATGCACATAACCCAAGATCCGATTCAAATTATTCATTTAATTCAGTGAATTGAGTTGATTCAAATTGTGGAATCTGAGTCAAACTATCTGCTCAGAGAAAGGTGCCTGTGGATGCACAAGAGAGTATTACATTGTTGAACTTTCAGAGACATCGTCTTTCTGCGACTTCAGGAGAAAATAGCAATTTGGTTCAATTATCCTATTCAAAGTGGTGATAAGATCTAATTGTCGTTGAACAGAATCTTCACTAAATTCTAACAGATAGTTCTTTCCAGAAGTCTGAACCAATCTCTTGAATGGGAGAGTTAAAAACTGGCAAATTATAACCACATTTAGCAGGTTATCCATGATTATCTATGAACTTACATTTCCATAGCATAAAAGACAATGAACAATCTGAAGCTATTTCTGGCTATTAAAGTATTTAATTTTCAACACACTTAATTTAAACATTACTTGAGGCTGACAGTTGGGGCAGGCAGAAGAGAAACAGAGGACACCGTGTTTGAACAGAAGCCTCTTCTTAAGCAGTGAAACACTAGATAGGTATCTAGAACATCCTAACAGATTAGGATATTTTTTAATGATAGTCATCAGCAAAGATCTGAAAAAATGAAGATGTTAATGAGGTAGGTATGTCCAATGTCTGTTTGAGGTGTGGACTGGAAGTTCTTCAGAGAACCGCTGAACTCACATGTAGATAGTCTTACACAGCATGACAAACCAGCATTGTGAATCCAGGGATACTGTCTTCTTTAAAAATGATGCCAGCTTCAGCAGAAACATTTTGACAGTGGGTTGCAAAAGACATTTCGAAGAAGTTAGAAAGACAACTACTCAGAACCAAGTATCTTCTGTTCCTAGAGTGATCTACGAACTTCGAAATAAAAAAGGGGTAGTACGACGTGGTTATCAGTATTTCCAAACCCGAGTCATCAATCTCTGATTAATGTGGGACTTCCAATGGACAACGGGTACACACAATGTCTTCTTTTTGTAAAAACAGGTCGAAGATATAAGTGCCAGGAATAAGTGAAGGTTCTAAAAGAATCTTGAACACTCTGTGCTATAGTAAGTTTTGCAGCCTGAATTCTCTCTTATTCCACATATCTAACCAAATCAGTCTCCAATCTATTTTCCTTGACACATTTTTAGGGTTATAATCCTTGTCTACCTGGACTACTAGCTTCCATAAGTTACGAACCTAGAAAGCTATCTTACCCTGATTTGGGACCTGTCTTCCATTATAATTCCCCAATTTGAGGATGATCTGAAATCATCTTCAAACCAGCCAACCTTGAAACAGGATTTTACACTGGAATTTTGTCTAACCCAGGGATTGAACTGGTAACTTTGTCTGCATACTAAGTATGTGCTTTGCCTCGTAACTGTGTCCAGCAGGGATAAAGGAAACTATCTAAGATCAAAACAGTCCTTTAATCCTTGGTGCTTGGTACCATCTGTGTTGTTTACAACAGACTTTCCGGGCTTTAGATGTTTCCCAGCCGTTCCTGAGGTGCCAGGAATTGAACTTCACCTCTGGATGAGATGAGCAGCACATAAATCCTACAAATAAATAAATAAACAAACTTGGAGATTCCTGGAAAACAGAATTTCTAGGGTCTGACAGCACTGCAAACACCAGCACCAAACACCTTTTGAGATCTCCTTGGCAAGCTCGGAATGCCTTTATGGGTTATGGTAAAGTGTCTCCCTGAACAGATTTAACTACTTTGGTTCACCAACATCTGCATCATACTTTTCTTTCTGCGAGGAGTTTGGAATTTCCATGCACGGAGCTCTCCCATTTTATCATCATAAGTCTGTGAGATCTCTTGCACAGGTCTCATCGTGGCTGAGCTGCATCCAGGTGTTCCCCATCCAAGTCTATCATTTGCAGCACGTTATCACAGAATCAGCTTGTAGGCAGCTATAGATTAGACTCTTGGATTAATCGTTCTGCGACCTCTGTTTTCTTAGAAAGTCATTGTTGATGCCATCAAAATAAGTGAATGTGGAAAGAAAGAAAGAAGGAGATGTTCATTTTTTGATAGGCAACAGTCTCTGGCAAGGGAGATTTTTGTACAGTAAGTGTCCATCAGCATTACAATTATTCTAAGAACTGTCTTATAAGGGGGAAAAGGAGAGAAATGGAATGAAGGCATTGGAGACACGCACTTTGGGAAGGGTTCATAAAGTTAACATCCTTAACAACACCCATACCTGGAACTGCATATTTCACATTAAGCCCAGCACTTTTTTCAGAAAGCTGTTGGAAAATAATAAAATATATTGTTATTACTGAGAAAGGGTCACTCACTCAAAGTCCTCCGTTTCTGTGTCTGTCCTAGTTACTTTTGGGAATATTCTTGTTCTTCAGCTCAGCCAGTTTGTTGGTTAGGAAGCTCCACTTGAAGGCCACCCCTTCAGCTTCTCGGAGATCATTGTCATGGCCAAGGTCACTGACTTCCTCAGCTGGCATCACCCCAGACCCCCCACTGCCCTCAACCATTTCCTCCCTGGGGTCCACCTTGGCAGTCATTTTTTCCAGAGCTGAAGTTTGCTGCCACTTAGTAGCAAAAACATCCCAAAGGCCAGCGGTCTTCTTCTCAGGTGATTCTTCTGCTGGTTTTACAGCTAGAGGACTGAAAGGAGAAAAGAATTTAGGAAAGGAGAGGCAATAAAACTACACTGCATAGTGTGTTAATATAAGTCCCCCAAATTCTAAGAATAAAATCAGAAACACAGGAAGCTGCTTTAGGCCAAGCCAGATCTTCAATTTGCTCTTAGTGGAAATAGAGGTAAAGGTGAAGGTCTCCCTGTCAGTGGTGTCCACTTCCAGGGCACAGTGCTGATCGAGTAGAAGTGGCTCACCAGAATTTCAGACATAGGTCATTCCCAGCCCTGCCTAAGAGTAATGGAAATTGAAATAGATGTTTCTCATGTAAAATATATTCTCTGATCTTCCCTAAAACAATATTGTGGTAGTTGATTTAGTTTCATAGCAGATGCTTATCTAAAGTATCATAGATGGAATATACAGTAAAAAATACCTATTGAGTTAAGTGGGAAACTGTCTGGAAACAATCTGCAAACAAATTAACTCAGACAACATGATGTTTATTAAGCACTAATTAAATGTAATAATAGAAAATTAATATTTTTTTTGTAAAAAAGAAAAAAGAATGTAAGGCCAATAAAGTACTATCTGGACCATATCTTGAGTTTGGCATGTTTGGGAACCTAGCCGTGAATATCGTTATAGTACGATGTGCAAAGGAAGTAGTAGATCTCTCTCCTTTCTTATGTTGTTGTCACTTGTGAGTTTTGAATGCCAACTTAGTAATTTCTCCAAAAAGCACTTTTCCCAGTTAGATCTTCACTGTTATATCTGATATTGCTTTGCTTTCATAGATTTAATAACTGTAGTTTTTACCATTTTAATCTTGTTTGAGCTTTTTAAATGATGAATGGAGGGTAATGGATACCATAAAAATAAAGAGCATATTTTTTAGAGTTTTTGTATAGCTTGAAGGTTCAGTTTAAACACCCATTGGAGTTGAGCAACTATAATAAATATGAATGAATGAATGATGACTCTTGGAGGCTGAAGAGTCCATTCAGCTGTTGTGTGTTACATTTTATCTGCCCACTGGAGGGAAGAAAGGCAAAAGGAACAGCTGACTGATTCTAGCTAGGGCTAGAGTCATAAAAGTCCATGAGTCACAAAAGAGCCAAAGTTGCCTACCCCTGGGCTAAGCAAAGAGAGAGAACAAGGAATGTTTGTGATTAGTTTGCAGGGACCCTGTTCTGATGGGCACCTGAATAGCAAAACCCATATAGAATAATAGGTTGGAATGGACCTTGGAGGTCTTCTAGTCCACCCCCCTCCTTAAGCAGGAGATCCTATACCATTCCGGACAAATGGCTGTCCAGTCTCTTCCTCAAAACTTCCAGTGATGGAGCACCCACAGCTTCCAGAGGTAAGCTGTTCCACTTTCTCCTTAATTCTAGGTTGAGTCTCTCTTTAATGGTCTTCTACCTGTTACTTCTTGGCTTGCCTTCAAGTGCTTTGGAGAATAAGTTGACTCCCTCTTCTTTGTGACAGCCCCTTAAATACTGCTATCATATCACCCATCGTCCTTCTCTTTGTTAGACTAGACATACCTAATTCCCTTAATCATTTATTGTACAGTTTAGCCTCCAGACTCCTTACTATTTTTGTTCCTCTTCTCTGCACTTTTTCAACATCATAGTGACCAGAACTGAATGCAATATTCCAAGGGTGGTCTCATATTTGTATGTAATTGCAAAAGGATGCAAACCATCAACCACAGTGCGACAAAAACCAAGCCAACACTCCTTAATATCAATCTGGTTTTACAAAGGTGGGCATGACTAGAAAACAAAACACTAAAACTTATTTCTGGACAAATATAAGGAAGTTGAAGGCCCAGTGCATTTCCTTCCTGATTCTTTGGGCAACAATGGCTTCCTCTGCCAATTGTAGCCAAGAACAGCTCATATCAGAAAAACATAAGGAAATGAAACCTTCAGGGTAGTTGTGGTTTTGAATGAAGTGCCAAGAATGTGAATTGATTGATGGCTGATATTTTTATTTTGGGGGGCACTTTTAGTTTGGAGGGAGAAGTTCTCCATAAGTGCCTGTTTGACCATAAAAATGAACAGGCATTCTGGGTAAAGGGATGATTCTGTGTACATGCTGTTTCTCTAAGACAGTGTTTCCCAACCTTGACAATTTTAGGATATATGGATTTCAACTCCCCTATATTTGTCCGGTTGGCTGGGGAATTCTGGGAGTTGAAGTCCACATATCTTAAAGTTCTCAAGGTTGAGAAACACTGCAAAGTGGATAAAAAATGATGGTCATTCTTATGAAGGGGTATATCTGCCCTATTCAAGCAATTTGAGAACTGTAATTAGTTAGGGGAAAAAGGAAAGGTATCTCTTACTGGTCTGCAGATGGTTCAGGAGCCAGCAACTGATCTTCATCCTCCCGACTGAACAAAGAGGACATGGTCCTCCAGCCTTTGGCTCCAGCTCCTTGGACCTACATGCCAAAATCAAAGAAGAGACAATTGGGTTGTGGGTAGACATCATGGTAAGGGGCTTCCTCAGACAAACTTCAGAGCCCTTTCATCAATGACATTTCCTTTCAAATCAAGCATATTTATGATTGGGATTTTTTGGGGGGGCTCTGTAATGGATAGTGTACTGGAACTCTTCAACCCAACTGCTCAGAAAGAATCTATGGAGATTCTCAGTCATCCAGATCATGGTTGTTCCAAAAGATGCTTTTTCAAAAGGCAACTAGACTTTCTTCTTTTTTTTCTTGAAGACGTCAGAACTGAAGAAACTTCTTGGAATTGAAGTGAAATGTCTTCAAGGAAAAAACAAGAAAATCCACTTGTCTTTTGAAAAGAGATGACTCTTTTTCTTTGGGCTGAGTAAAAATCTCTGAGATGATGGGTAGTTTCTAAATCAGGTGACCTCTTTGGGCCACAAGTGGTTTCTCCATCCCTCCTTTTTTGGCCTCAAAGTCCACCAAAATGCTCATCTTCTGAAAACAAGATTGAAAAAAAGTCTTCTCCAGTGATATGGAACTCAGTAGAAGACATTGGACTTCTGTAGTGATTTTTGCCTTTTTGTGTTATGCATTCCAAATAGTTTCATTATTAGTGCTTCCGTTGGGTTAATTAAATAGTGAACTATTTTTGCAATTCAAGATATCCTCAACAAGTTTCTCCAGCACCACAATTCAAAGGCATCCGCTTTATTTCATTCAGCTTTCCGATGGTGTAGCTTTTACAACATCTGTTACAACTGAGAAGTCCATGGTTTATACCCAGCGTCGTAATCATTGTGATGTCTCTGCCCTTTAACAGTTTGAATAGATTTACAATACTCTTTCTTTCAAGTAGGAGACCTCCCTTTATTTTATGGCATCGGTTCTGAAATGTCCTTTATGTCAATATAAATCTGCACCGGAGACAAATTCCTTGTATGTAGAGCCACACTTGGCCAAATAAAATATTCAATTCCATTCAATAAATTACATGTCACTTGGAAGAAAACTACATTTTCACTTAATTTTTCCTCACTATGTCTCACTTCCTTCTAATGTGCTCAGCGTCAAATGCATATTTTTATACCAGAGGATAAGTATCTCCTATTGGCCCAACTAGCAACTTTTCATTGACAATTTAAATATTTCTGGACAATCTTTTTGAAAAGTGTGCCGATTTTGGAAATATATCGATGCATTGTTTTTATTGATAATCCTAGAGTTCACAGATTCCCTTCCCTTCAAATTCCCCTCCCCTCAAAGGCTGAGTCAGCCATTTTATTCTCACAGGATGATACCTTTAGTGACAAATTGCACAGGCATTTTTGTCTACTATGCAATAGCAACTTCAGAAATCTAAAAGGAGGTTTGGCTCTGTATGAGGACAGTGACTTTTCTTACCCGCCGAGCCAACTGAGAAACGGAGTTCAATCCCTCCTCCGACAGCAGTATGGAGTCTGTAGTTTCCACCAGTTGAGGATTCTCACTCTGAAATAAGAGATCATCTTTTGGGAATTGTTAGTGCAACTTCCTGACAGTTAGAACAATTAACCAGTGGAACAACCTGCCTCCAGAAGCGGTGAATGCTCCAACACTGGAAGTTTTTAAGAAGAGACTGGACAGCCATTTGTCCGAAGTGGTGTAGGGTTTCCTGCCTGAGCAGGACTAGCAGGGTTGGACTAGATGACCTCCAAGGTCTCGTCCAACTTTATTATTATTATTATTATTATTATTATTATTATTATTATTATTATTATTATTATTACTACTACTACTACTACTACTACTACTACTACTACTACTATTATTATTATTATTATTATTATTATTATTATTATTATTATTATTATTATTATTATTATTATTATTATTATTATTATTATTATTATGTAGGCAACAGTGGCCTTTTGCTTCTACCAGAAACTGTGGCACCATTCCATAGAGAGAGCAGAATAAAGATAGCTGAGCTGCCTTACTCTATTTTGAAATGAAATGTTGCACATCGTCTTTCAACATTCTCCCCTCTCCCATCCCAAAGATTATTTAATAATAATAATAATAATAATTGATATTACGGTCACAGACCAACATTGCAAATAAGAAACATAAAAATAAAGTAAAAGCGAAGACAATATATTATAATTAGTGGTGGATTGTCAGTGGCCAGTCAGAGTCTGCCTCATTTTGCAGACAGTATAACAACATTCTACATTCAAGGAGACTACATTGGACTGATCTGATAATAGCAATTGAACATAAAACAGATTTGGTGCACATAAAAAAGATTGGTGATGATTTAATGATTTGCAAAGGTGATCCCAGTATTGTCATTGGGCAGAATGGAGCAACTTCATTCCAGATTGGGATGGGTATCAAATTTCCTAAAGTTATGAAGTTTCCAATGCTTTTTTACCTAAGGGGGTGGGGAGCGTGTTGTTTCTTTTCCTGCATCACTGGGAAATTAGTTCAGGCTTAGACAGGTGGGTAGATGGTCAAAAAATCTGATTCAATCAATCAACAGAGATTTTTTTAAATCAAGGGACATAACCGCATTTTCAACTAGGGTTGGGGGAACTTTTGGTTTTAGTATAATGCAGGGGTCCCCAACCCCCAGTCCGTGGACCAGTACTGGGCCACGGCATGCCAGCAACCGGTCCACACAAACAAGCAAAGCCCCATCCGGGGAATGCAGGCAGCACACAAAACCACACACCCTCCGGTCCGCGGAAAAACCTCTCTCCACGGAACTGATCCCTGGTGACCAAAAGGTTGGGGACTCTGGTATAATGCACACACGCTGGCTATTGAGGAAACATTACCCATTTAGAAAAAGCTGCCACACTGAGGTAGTTCTCTTAGCTTAGTGGCCATTCAAATTTGCCACAAACAATCCCAAAAGATATTTATAACCCAGTTCCAGAGTTCTGAGGGCATCACCCCCCCCCCCACACTGATGGTCACATGACCACATTGCAGGCACTAGACATTCAGCTCACCATTATGGCCAGTTGCAGCAATCCATGGTTACATGACGTGATTTACATTTTTTTTTTTTGCTGGAAATCAGACATTTTGGCCAGTTTCTGCCAAAAGAATGCCCATTAATACCTCCACATTTGCTTAATGACTGCCACAAAAAAGATATAAAATCAGGTCAGTCACATGGGTGCCTCACGTTACAACTCTCGTGATGGAAATTCTGGGCTCCATTACAGTTGTAAGCCAAGGACTATCTGTAGTCAGAAATAACCACTTGATCAGAGGTCAGATTAGTTATTTGTTCTTTGCCACCTCTTTTAGTATCCTGTCTCAGGATGCTCCCTATCATCTCAGCTTATCATTGCGGGGTTTTTTCCTGATCAAACAGAAAAAAGTCTTGTTTTGAAAGAATCAGTGGGGTAATAGCCTCCCATTGTTGTTCTCTTTCAAGATGAGACCTATTATATGTGTGGTCCACCTCAAAGCATTTTTGAAGGTAAAGATGATGTTAGAAGCAATATCATTTTACAGCGTGCCTTCTGCCCCTTATTTATTTTTTTTAAAAAAATGCAAGAATTAGAATGATAGTAGATCATCGATAGTCACATATATCCCACTGTCTGTTTCTATTCTGGGCTAAAGACTTGTTTCCCATAAAAAATAGAAAGTAGAAGATATCTGGGATCTTCCCCACCACATTCAAGTTGTGTGACCTTTACCTCCCCACCCCCCTGAATTTTTGTCAATGGCTTTGCCGGCTGAAAAATATTAGGAATGAAGATCCCTCCATATGGAATGGGTGGGAAAGCTAATGAAGCCTATGTTGAATGGGCCAAGGAAAAAGAAGAGGTGTGATCATCATGGATTGCTCTACCTCATCTTGAAGCTCCTCTTCTTGAGGTTCTCCACCAAGGGCTTGCAGTACTTTTGTCTTGTAGACTCTCCAGAATCCCTGAGACATTATTGCAACGGCCAGTTCAGCTTTTGTGGTCTCGGTTTCTTCAGATGCAAGAGAAACTTTAAGCTTTACCGTTCTTTCTTCAGTTTCTGCATTGAGCGCTAAGCCGGTTAAGTTCCATTGGCCATTGTGCCACAGCACTCAGCTGCTTTGGAGGCTCTGCGGGATATTAGTAGCTCCGCTAGAAGCTAGTGTGTCCTGCTACTTCACACCTGTTTCTAGCTGCCTCCTCCTTAGATCTGGTGTCTTCATTAACAATTCAGAAGCATACAGCATTCATCTCAAAAAAACAAAGTAGAATCAGACACATGGCTGAGCCAGAATAATAATGGATGACAGCTCTTGGAAACAACTGGCATCCCACCCCCAGATAAGTTGTGCAAAAAAAATAAATATGCTTGTCTTCTTCATCTCACACATGGAAAACTAATGCTTCTTGATGACCCCTGTCCATTAAACTTTTCTTTATGGGCAAACCCCCTTTTTTGTGTAGAAAGCCCCCTCGTCTTCAGAATGTACCACTTGGCTTCAGAAGTTCCCTAATCCCAAGCAGACTGTTTCTCCCACTTTGGAATCACAAGGAAATGGTAAAGGAAAGCATTCCTAAGTTGCTGCATTACACCCCATTGTCTGCACCCTGTAACTGATCTCCTGCAAGAACGGGCTTTGGAATGTAGGAGCTAGGCAGCAGGCTTAAAATAGCTGCTGACAGATAAATTATTTTGTAGAGCCGATAGCTTGCAGACTGGCGTCTTCTCCTTCCTGGATTTAGTTTCTGCTTTAGGCAGAATGCCAATCTCTCCCCCCCCCCACTCTGCCAAATGTCCAAACGGTGTCTTAAAACCTGCAAGGAAGTTGGTTTTCCAGATTATGGTTTAACTGTTGAAGAGAAGGCAAGGTGTTCTCTTTCCATCACCCAACTTGTTTCAGCTGGGGCCCTTCTCCCCTTGACAGATGCCTGTCCATTGCCTTTAAATGTGGGTAAATGTCTTTATTATTTCTCAGCCTGGTGCAGCAACACGATAACAAATTGTTAATGAAGTGGCTACTCTTTTGTCTTGTGCTAGCAACCATATGCTAATGCCACAGACTCATTTGTGCTATGCTTCATATAGCCAATCTATATCAAACACAGGTTCCTCACGAAGCTGAATCCTACTGGGAAGTGTGTTCAGATCCAAGAGTTGTAAAGCGAATTTTGTCCAAACTTAAACTTGGGATCCATTTATCTACTCACGTCCTTTATTCACCCAACATTTAATGAGGGTGACTGTGGCTCAGAGGTCACCGGGAATGCTGGAAATCATGGCATTGAGAAATTTTGATGCTTCTTTGGAGATGGGAGGGGAGCATAGAAAACAATTTTCTAATGAACTGATTTGTGAGAAGGGAACGACTCCTTCTAAAACTATCCTCTCTCCCAAACTCCCTCAAAACCTGAGCCCTGCCTCTTCATTATATACCGCTACATGTATCTCAACCACTGGAGATTATGTGTGCGCACATGAGCACATGTGGGTGCTGTATCCCAGCTTCAGAAATCTGTCCCCTTCTGCCATAGGGATAAATACTCGGGGTAGTTAACCCATGGCAAGCTATTGACCTGATAGAAAAGTAGAGCATAAACGGACACTAAACTTGAGTGTTCGTGCAAATCTATTAATAACAAATAATTTGAAGTTCACTCACCTAAAGAGCATGTGGTGTCAAAATTTCACATCTTGAGTGATGCATTATACCCCATTGATTGCAACCTGTAATGGATCTAATTATATTATTTATAATATTTGGATTATCTCAATACCTAAGATTTATGGGTTGCTAAGAAGGAAAATCATGTATTTTTCCATACAATTTGTTTTTATCCCTTTGTATGTCATGGAGACAATGGCGTATTTTATTTTATTTTTTGTTATCACTTTAATGAATGGGGAAATGAATGGGGTCCTAATACAGATTTGAATCAAGAAAGTCCAAGGCCATTAGGCCTTAATCTCCCAAGAGACGTTTTCATCATTCCATCCAAAAGGGAAATGCTACTCATAATTTTGCAGTTAGATCATCTTTTAGGATTCTGCCATGCTGACTCCTTTCCCAGAGAAGTGTCACCTGTTGTAACATAAAGCAGTGTTCGTATTATAGAACAGGAAACAGAATAGTGTGATCCACTTGAAAGCAAGAGAAACCTAGATCAATACAATGTAATGACCTCCAAGTGAAACCTGATCAGGCCAGAGGGGTTATTATCTTTTGCTTATAAAATATCTTGATGAGGAATCCTGAGGATGTTTATTTCCTTCACAGAGGATTAGCTGGACATTAGGAAAGCACATACACACAAACCACAACAGTGCCTTAGGTCAAAGGGTCACTTTTTGTGACTAAACATTAAGCAATGGTGAACTACAACACAACCTCTTAATGGGATAGAATTACATTCTAATTATGTTCATCTTAAAGGTTTAAAGTGGAATTCCACAGAAGGATAAAGAGCTGGAAAGTCACTGGTTTTTCTTTTCTAAGGATGGTAGAATCAGACCTACAAATCAGATCAAGAAATAGAGACTGAAACTAATAAGTTTTATTTTTTTTAAAAAAAAAAACCCTCTGCATTACATTATATATAATACATAGTTGCTAACAATAGAAGTGTTACAACAAGAAACATGAAGTTTAACAAACAGCAACAGAGCAGAACTAAAAAATTCTACCTAGTATCAGTTTAACAACAATCTTTTTGTCAAAACAAATAACAAAACGTGAAAAGAATATAAATGTAATAAATGCACTAAACAACCAGAAATGCATGCAGACATATCTATTGATAGAGGAATTAGAAATATGTCTTTTCATGTGGAATGGAGGTAAGTAGTTTTTGGTGGTGGTTCTCTAGACACAACATTAATATTCTTTCTTGCCTTCCTCTATTAAAAACAGTGGAGCTTTGGGGGGATAATCTAGTAGTCACTAGATTCTAGTGGATTACTGCCCTGAGCAAGACATTGGTGTAGATGACCTCTAAGATATCTTCCACATCATGCATTCTGAATCTCTAAAAAACTGATTATAAGTGGACTTCAAATGGTTTTATGTGGAAATTGGAAATACTTGTGCTACGGAAATACTCTTAGCGTTGGGAGAACACGGTCATATTAAGATATCCTGGAAAAAGGCAGCGCAAAGCTAGTTCCAAAGGCAGCGCAAAGCTAGTTCCATGATTCTGCCAAGGAAACCATATAAATGTAGTCACTTAAGTCAAGATGGCACTTTTGTTTAAGAACACACCAGTATTTCCAATTAACACTATGTTAAATAAATGTAATTGCCAGCAGCTTTGAATGTCGTTCTGTAGCAGAAATACAGTACATGCTCTAAATCCAACAAACGAGTATGCTTTTTAGTCCTTTAATGTTGCCTGTTTATTAATCCACTATAACTGCTTTTCCCTGAATTTGGTTAAATTGCAAGCTTTTGTATCTTTGTAAATGAGGCTTTGAATTGAAATGTGCCATTAATATTTGATGTTAGGATAGCTCACTGTTGTTCAAATTCAGCAACTTTAAGACATGTGCACTTCAACTCCCAAAATACCCCAGCCAGAGTCAACTCTGAGTGTTAAAGTCCACACATCTTAAAATTGCCAAGTTTCGCAAACACTTGGTTAATTTATGTCATTTATTTCTCCAGCTATTACATTCCAGATGAATTGTGGAAACTTGGATATATTTTATATATATTAAATATCTAGAAATATATTCGTAGAAGTTATGCTTTCTTGGTGCTCCCATTGGTCATTTCATTCATAACCACGATGGGCTACAGAACTTCATCTCATCCATACTGAAATTATTTTGAAAACGCCCAGAGGGTGGCGCCGTGAGATGACGTCACGCGCGCCTATGAGAAGCGGAAGTTACGCTTCCTTTCTCTCCCCGGCGAGCGTCGGAATTGGAATATGGCTCCCAAGAGCTCCCGTCGAACGGGTTCGCATAAGACGCATTCCTTGGCCCGCCAGTGGAAAACGAAGCGACGGCGACGAGATCTGGATCAGATCCACCGCGACATGTTGCCCGAGAACGCGACGAAGCTGCTGCGCCAAGAGCTGGATCCCGACCTGCCTGGCAATGCCCAGCATTACTGCCTGCATTGCGCGTGCGTCAAGAGAGAAAGGCGGTGGGGGGGGAAACGGGTTGGTCCCCGTGGAATACCCCTTGCATATAGAGATAAGAATTAGAACCGACCAACTTCCTCGGTTGTGGGATAGAAAACTTTATGTCCCTTTAGACCAGTGTTTCTCAGTCTTGACAATGGTAAGGTGTGGACTTCAACTTCTAAAGTTCCCCAGCTAGCATGTTTTTTGGGGGAGGAATTCTGGAAGTTGAAATCCTCGGCTTAAAGTAGCCAATTTTGAAAAATGCTACTTTAGACATAAATGAGAGTTGCCTATCAAAATGTAAGATTTTAGCTGCAGAACGTAGGTTGGAAAAGTGAAGAATCTGCTTTTTTTTCTCTTTCAAAGAAAGAGCTGAAGAAGTCCTTATTTTGTGGAGTTAAAAATTAAACTAATTAGGATGCAAAAAAAAACCCTTTAGGCAGTTGCTAGGTGATAACAAAAGAGTCAGAGATTTCTGCATTACTTTGTCATCCCATCCAGATTTTTGCAATCCAAACCTGGAGCCCTAATTGTAGACAAAGGGAGCAAAGATGAAGCTGAGCTCTTATGTTTTCTTTCGGGGTTTTTAGCGGGGAGGGGAGAGAAAAAAATAAGAGAGGTTGTTTCTTAAACTGCAGCCCAAATCTGGTCACTATTTTAAAAAAAATTACTTGATAGTCCTGTAGGCTCATTATTTACATTTTAAGTCATGCACTAAGAAAAACTGGAATGAGGGGTCCTTAGTGGTCTTTGAGCTTGAATATTGGCAGACATTTTATTACCCAAACTAGGTATCATCAGTGCTTTTTTAGTAAAAAAAAAAAAAAGTGCCGGAACTCACACATGTCATACAACCCACCTTGCCTACCCTACAAGGTTCCATCCAAAAAAGGTGCCGGAACTCCGTTCTGGGCGTTCTGTGAGAAAAAAAGCCCTGGGTATCATCATCAGAGCTAATAGGGAGTGGGGTTTGCTCTCATTTTATATTGTAGTGGCTTGTCTTGTCAGTTTTGGTGGGAGTGGTAGAGGGTCTTTGGGTTGTTAATTGTTAGTTTGTTTGGCAGTTCTTTGGTTGGGGTTTACTTCTAAAGACTAGAATCCAGCTTTCCCTGTCCAACAACTAAATCACTAGGCCCAACTGACTTTCCACCAGCTTTCAGTATGCTTGTTTCTTCTTGTCTCTTCTTAGGCGATATTTCATTGACTTAAAAGGTATGAAGGATCATTTCAGATCAAAAGTCCACAAAAAGAGGTAATGTTAATTTTATTTATTTGGGGGGGGGGTACCCTCCTTTTCTTGAACCTGGACTGGTGGTGGCGAGCCTATGGCACAGGTGCCAGAGGTGGCACTCAGAGCCCTCTCTGTGGGCACACGCACCGTCTCCCCAGCCCCACCTCTTCCCACGACCCCCTCCTCACTAGCAGTCCCCCCAGAGGAGAGTCACCCCTGGGCGAGGCCCATGCGAAGCAGCGCAGCCAAGGACATGGTAGCCGGGCAGCAGGGACAAGACTCTGCCCTTGTGCCCCGTCGCGTGCAGATGATGCTGCGGGGCATGGGCGGAGGGCAAGGCCACCATGGCGCTGCTGGGCTGCCTGGGTGAGCTGTGGAGTTGGTGGGTGGCCCAGTGGGCAGGGCGGAGCAGGGATGGGGGTTGGGGTGGGGGTTTGGGGCACTCGGTCTCTAAAAGGTTCGCCATCACTGACCTGGACTATCTCTTCTGAATGTCCTACCTGACACATATATCTACCAACTATATAATCAGAATGTCTTCCAATGCAAAGAAGATGTGATTCCATTAAGGTTTTGTGCCCTTCATCAACTGGAATATCAGCATTTGCAAAACATTTGGATTTGTTTCTGTTTTCTTTAAGACTGAAACAGTTGAGTGAGGAGCCCTACACCCAGGAGGAAGCTGAGAGGGCTGCAGGAATGGGGTCCTACATTCCTCCCAAGAAAATTGAAGTCCACACACAACCTCTGGATGAGATGGATGAATCCAGCTAAGACAAGGGTGTTTTGTCCCCATCTGAAAAATTTGGAGATAGTAAAAGCATCGGTATAATTAGGTGGTTTGGAGTATGCTATCTTTAAAGTTGTACTATTATTTATTGCATTAGGTTTGCAGTATTAATACTGAAATGTATATGCAGATGAGAAAGATCAACCCTCTTAGATGGAAAAAAGACATTTTACCCCTTGTTCAGTATGGATTAGAATTCAGCAGCAGGTCAGAGGCAGGAGCCATGCTGCTCAAATGAACTTGCTTTTGATTCTCTTACAATGGTTTTAAATGTGACTGTGGACTTGAGCTTTTTGTTCTTAATGTTCCACTCTTCCATTGAGCCCACTTAATAAATGAGCTGACAATCTGTTGGCTAATCCTTGCCTATTTTGCTTTGGGGTTTTGATTTGAATGTGTTGAAGGATGTTTTTTATAACTGGTAAGAAGAGGAGCAACTGATGCCATTTTGACTTTTTTTGTTTGTTTGTTTGAACTTTTAAAAATCACATTGATGGCACGGATCAGAATCTCTCATTCAGCCTGCCTAGAAACTGAAAAGTCTCATTTTCTTTCTCTGGTTTAATTTGCATTTGTTGGAAGTAGAGTCCGGTTGTTAGTGGGGAAATCCTCTAAATTGGAGCGTTACAAGTCTGTGCTACTGATGAATCACTGGGGAAGGAAGACACATTTGGTTCAGGGATAGAATATTGGTTCAGAATTATGTTTTAAAACATAATGGTAGAGGTGAACCACCTCTTGATGACTGGGTAGCCATGATTAACACCTGGGAGAAGACAAGAGCCCTGCAGATAGTGCGAACCGAGTGGGCAGATCAGAATTTCATTTCCTTAGTTACCTCCTTAGACATGTAAGCCACTCCTACTAGCAATTACTCTAAGCAAATTAATTCCTCATTTCCCATACTAAGATTAAAACACAGTAAATACGCTTGATTCAAATGATTAAAACGGTGTTTCTCAGTCTTGGGAACTTTAAGATGTATGGACTTCAATTCCCAGAATTCCCCAGCCAGCCATGAAACATGTTCTCTTGCAATCTCCCTTTGTTAACTCACTGCTCACTCCAGAAGTTCGATTCCTTCGATCCTGACTGGCTCAAGGTTGACTCAGCCTTCCATCCTTCTGAGGTCGGTAAAATGAGAACTCAGATTGTTGGGGGCAATAGGCTGACTCTGTAAACCACTTAGAGAGGGCTGTAAAGCATTGTGAGGCAGTATATAAATCTAAATGCAATTGCTATTGTTGCTTTTCTCCATGATTGATTAAAACCATTGTTCTCACTTAGAGCAGAGAAATGAGTTAGATCCCAGTTTCCAATCCAATCTTTGAAACTGGAGACAATGCAAAGTTATTTGGAAATAGGCAGTAAATGCGATTCCTTCCTGGAAATAATTTAACAAGACACAGTGCATCATGGCTAGAGATAAAAAATGTAAGATATATGACCACACAATTCAGTTTAGGGTTAATAGGCTACAATTATAACTTTAGCAAAGTAAGTCTTCCTATTTTGAATTTTACTTATCTCTAGTTCAGTGTTACCAGTTGCACACTTTGATCACCCTTCATCTACACAAAAATCTTTTCCTGCCAAAAGAAATTTACATTTTAATTTATATAACTTTTGCAATTTGGTTATTCTATATCATTTTTCCTTGGAACACTTTCTCCAAAATCAATATTCTAAGTTTTGTGGAAGTATTTGAAGTATTTGGAGAATGTATTTTGAAATTTCTTTTTACAAAGTGGAGATATACAATGCCAACCTGGAGTAGGTAAGATAGATTCTGGGGTGTACTCACACATTTGCAATATGTTGAGTTGATTTCCTGACTACAAGTGGTTTATTTTCCAAGATGTGGGATGT